GCCAGACCTGCCTGTTGCTGACCCGCCAGACCTGCCTGTTGCTGACCCGCCAGACCTGCCTGTTGCTGACCCGCCAGACCTGGCAGCTGCGGTGCCGCCCTCCGAGGCACCTGCACCGCCCGCACCTGACTCCACGGCCCCAGCTCCACCCGCGCCCGGCCCACAGGGGGTCGCCGCCTCTGCTCTGCCAGGCAGGTCTGGCGGGTCAGCAACAGGCTTCTGTTCAGTTCCTTCGTTGGTGTCTTCCAATTTCTGTTCCCATCCTGCCATCTTGTCACCCTCCAGTTCCAGTCTTGCAGCCACCTCCTCATCACCCTCCAGTCTTGCACTCCCTTCCTCATCGCCCTCCAGTTCCTGTCCTCGTCCTGCAGTCCATTCCTTATCACCCTCCAGTTCCTGTCCTCGTCCTGCAGTCCATTCCTCCTTGCCCTCCAGTCGGCCACAAAGCCCACCTCCTACCCAACATTTCCCTTTTCGGTTTCCTGGCCAGCTGCCCCAACAAGTCCCATTTTTGCCCTTCCCTTTCAGTTTATCTGCCCCATTTCCATCCCAGTCTCATGTCCCTGCTCCTTTCCCACTCCCTGCTCCTTTTGTTCCTTTCCCTTCCGGTTCCCCTATACAATTTCATTCTCATGTCCCTGGTCCTGTTCCTCAGTGTCCACGTCCGTTTGTTCCTGGTCCCCAAGTTCTGCCCCCTGCTGTGTTCCCTCGTCTAATCTTCTTGTCCCAGCTCCTGGTGTCTGCCCCATCTGTTTTTGTTCCCCTCTTGTCTGAGTTCTTGGTTCTGTGTGTCCAGTTCCTTGGTTTTCGTTAAGTGGTTTCCCTGTCCGGTGCTGTGTCTTAGTCTTGTACACCCGTTATTTGTGGCCCTGGCAGTGCCCTTGCGCGCGTCCGGTGTCCACGCGTTAGGTGGGGGGGGTACTGTCAGGGTCAGCCCCTGTTGTCACTCTGTGTCCCTTCCCCGTTTGGTTAGCAGGCATTGCTGGTCATCCCGTCCTTCATGTTTGTCTTTTAGTTTATCCTGTTCTGTTGGCCTCATGGCTCAACACCTTGAGCATCCGGTTGTCTTTGTATCTTCTGTCCTGTGTTTGAATCCCACCTCCTGTTTTTGTATTTTGCTCCCTAGTGTTTCAGTTCAGTTTGTCTAGTTATTGTATTTAGTGATTTTGTATATGGTTTTTGGTTTTGTTCCTTGTGCCCCTGCTTGTCTTTACCTGTCTGTAATTCCCCAGTGTTCTGATTCCTTGGGTAGTTCTTAGTTTTCCTGTTTAGTTCCTTTGAGTATTAGTTTCACTTGTACCCCGTTTCCCTGGTCTTTCTTAATTAGCCTCACCTGTCCTGTGTTAGTCTCGCTACCCCTTAGTATTTTAGTTCCTGCTTCTGTTCAGTTCCCCAGTGGTTCATTGTGTGTGTTGTGGTGTTGTTGGTTGGTATTGATTGTGTTTGATGGTTATGTCAGAGATTCCCAGTTTTAGATGTGTATTTAGGTTGTGTTATTTAGTGTTTGTTAATCCCCTTTTATTTTTTGACCCCTCGTGGTCCTTTTGGTTTTGTGTTTGTAGTGTTTTCTGTTTTATTTAATAAACCCCTTTTTTTCTTGGAGCCGCCAGTGGGTCGTCCGCCCTTTTTGTGCCTGATGCCTCGCTCCCGTGCCCGAGCCGCCAGTGGGTCGTCCGCCCTTTTTGTGCCTGATGCCTCGCTCCCGTGCCCGAGCCGCCTGCAATCCTGACATTTGGACAATTATCTACTTCCAACTTTGTAGGAACAGTTTGGAGAAGGCCCTTTTCTGTTCCAGCATGACCCAGTGCACAACGTAAGGTCCATAAAGACGCAGTTGGGTGAGTCTGGTGTGGAAGAACTTGACTGGCCCACACAGAGCCCTGACCTCAACCCCAACGAACACCTTTGCAATGAACCAGAATGGAGATTGTGAGCCAGCATCAGTGCCTGACCTCACAAATGCTCTTCTGCATGAATGGGCAAAAATTCCCACAGACACTCCATAAACCTGCAAAAAACCTTTCCAGAAGAGTGGCAGCTGTTATAGCTGCAAAGGGGGGACCAACTCCATATTGCTGCCTATGGATTTAGAATTGGGTGTCATGAAAGTTCTTATAGGTGTAATGGCCAGGTGTCCCAATACTTTTGTTCATATAGTGTATGTCTGTCTGTGTGAGTAAATACTTCACAATGCAGAATATAATTGATTTCTGTGAATCAGGCCATCTTACAACTAATTTATTAATAGAAAAATAATCCCTACCTAGCGTTTCCCCATAATTAACTATGTGTACTATCTATCTATAACTTTTGGTATACCTTAACACATTTTTCCAGATATGTTTTATAAAAAGTATCTCCATAAAAACTTCAGCCTCATATACAACTTTAACACATAAAATAATGTCTGACATGTACATATTTTCCATGCACATTGCAGGAATGCATCCCAGCTAGCGCTTGGCATTTATACCAGGTACAGTGTCGGCCCCCTTTCCCCAACCATCTGATGGGAAGATGCCCTGACTGAGCACCTTGCTACCTCCTGCCATGCTGTAATGAAGCTCGTATGGGGTCCAGCAGACTGCAGGGTCAGTAGCCAGAGTGAAAAAAAATGGTACCACTGAGTACCATTACAAACAGAACAATGAACCTCTAATCACCTCAGCAAATAATTATGGCCTGATTCAGTGTAATATAAATTCCTAACAATGACGAGAGACATTCATTTCATGCACAAAGTCCAAAAGAAACACAATTGTATATAATTTCTAATTTATCTAAGTAGATTAGATTCAAAACTACTCTCCACCCATATTAGATTTGTGATGAGCCAGCGAAGCAGCATAATGTATAAGGTGCAGAAGCCTAAATGGAGTATCAATGCAACACAGGACACTCTCTGTCTCTCTCTTTCACACACACACACACACACACACACACACACACAGGACACTCTGTCTCTCTCTTTCACACACACACACATACACATACATCGTCACATAGAAGAGTTTGCAAGTTTATATTGTCACCCGCTGCCTAGAATATACAACTACGTAAGCTTATGACAAAAAATACAACAACTGAGTGACGTTCTATGACTGGTCCAACTGAAACCCTAACGTTTACATACAAACACACATTTAAAAAGTCTTTAAAGGAGATGCTCTACTAAAATTCCACTAGATTTCAACTGAAACAGGGTCAAGGTGAATGTGCACATCTGGAGGATGATGATGATGATGATATGGACTTCATCGCACAACACTGAGCAAAGTCACAAATGAAGCACAAAGATACTGAACCAACAGATGATGGAAACTCACTTCCAAGCTGTCATTCAGACACAGTCCGTGATCTACAAGGTGCGTGACGGATGCATTACTGGGCTTAAAACAGTGTAACAATAGTTTTCACAATGCTATTAATATTTGGCTGCGATTTCCTTAAAAGCAATTGAGTGTTGGGAATCAATTGTAAATTTACTACTCGTTATCCAAAGGACTTGTAAACAGGGATCATTTACCCACAAACCAAGATCCATGAAACCGAAAGAAGAAACCGTGTCGCAATGACATTTTCTAAAGCCCCAAAGAGTGTTTTCAAATAAAGCCATAAAGCGTACTTTTCAACAAGCCGAGCAGAGCCTGTTGCAGTTTCATGTCAAAATGCACAGACAGCATGGAGACTGTAAGGAGCCACTTCTGACGGTGAAGCGGAATCAAGCGAGCACGTCACTTACCGAGCCTTGTGTACAACAAACAGCACGATCAAAAGTCCTTGCAGCAATAGATAATGATTACGCGTCCCTCCGTAATATTATCCTTTTATATGGGGATTGGATACAATAAAATACATCGGATATGAAGAATCCGCGAATATCTTCAATGCACATCGCCTGGAGGTTCAGACCATGTTTTTCGCAATTCAGGAAGTTCTCCCTTTCCCCACTTTTCCCCTGTTTTCCTTTAAAAAATAATCCTTCATGAACACACTACCATTGATTTTCGGTCGCGATCCATTTAAAAACCATGCGCGCCCGTTTGTGTTGTTAATGTTTTTTTCAATCTATGGTCATTGTTCACAAAGGACAAATTCAACTTCTCCGTTTCCTCCTTTCATTTCTCGGCCCATCGTGGCCCGCCGTCAGTTTCTTCCTGGAAAAGGCTGAAAGCAGAAACAGCGGATCGGGCAGCCGCTCATTGATTTTAGGCAGAGATGAGGCGGATCGGGCGCTGTGCGGCGCTGCCCCCCGTCCAGCGGCACTGCCCCCTTAAAGGGGACCGCGCTGCGGGGAAGCCCAGCTCTGCAGCATGGTGCGCAAAGCGGCGCATTGGGGAACAATAGTGAGATCATGGGGCCCGCTGCACTTTAAAAATGCATGTGCTTGTCTGATCGCCACATTTAATGCAAGCTGAAGTTTCAAGCTTTATGTGTTACCTACACAAACACCGTACACACGGGTAGCGAATTGTTATACATACATATATACATACACACGTGTATGTGAGTGTATATATATATATATATATATATATATATATATATATATATATATATATATATATATATATATATGGGGGGGTTGATTGCACATCCTGCCAGTAAGAGCAGAGTGTGAAAGTTGAATTAGCAGAGCAATAGCACAGCTATACAATATTGCAATCCACACATGTAATGGGAGACGTATTAGAGTTCAAAAGAGGGCAAGTTTTTGGTGTGTTTCTCACTGGTGCATCTGTGACCAGGACAGCAAGCTTTTGTGGTGTATCGTGAGCCACTGCATCCAGGATAATGTCAGCATACCACCATGAAGGATGGACCAGGAGTAACTGTAGACACAAGAGGAAGCTGTCTGAAAGGGATGTCTGGGTACTAACCCAGGTTGTATTCAAAAACATTAAACCACAGCTGCCCAACTCACCGCAGAATTAAATGCGCACCTTGACTCTTTGTCAAGAGCTCCGCATGGTCAATATTCATGGTCAGGCTGCTATAATCAAATATTTCGTCACTCATGCCAATTCCAAATGTCGGTTTCAATGATACCAGCGGCACAAATCTTGGGCTGTGGACAATGTGAGACATGTATCAATTATGCACCAATACACACAGCAAGACTGGTGACAGAGTGGTTTAATGAATATGAACACGAAAATTAAGCTGAACATCTCCCATGGCCTGCACAGCCACCAGATCTACATATTATTGAGCTACTTTGAGGTGTTTTGGAGGAACGAGTCAGGAAACGTTTTCCTCCACCAGCATCATGTGCTGCAAGAGGAATGGCTCAAATCCCTCTGGCCACTGTGCAGGACCTTGTCTGTCATTCCGAAGATTAATCGATGCTGTATTGACTGCAATAAATTATTGTGGTCTAAAACCAGGTGTTTCAGTTTCATTGCTCAACCCCTGTGTGTGTGTGTATGTGTGTGTGTGTGTGTATTTCATATATACACACGCGCACATACACACACACCCACACACACTAGTAATGTTGTAGATAGAACATTTGTTTTTTAAAATAAAGTCTCACTTGAGTATGCCGGAAAACAGCGCCACTTGTCGTCAAAAGTAAATCATTGCGTCTTGGCGGAAATAATAGAACTGAGACACGATGTGTTACAAAATAAATAATTTGTGGATTAAATGCCAGTTTTTAGGATTTGTTTTTTTTTTGCTACAAACGAACAGATCAGAGATATTTAAGGCCAGATATCTTTTATTAAATATATTTAAGATCAGTTATATTTATTAAAATCTTATAAGCAATCTCTCTCTGGATTTTGTAATTGTTCACCTTTAAGATGGTACAGTATAGGGCGGTAAAAGGGATACAAGGTAATGACTATTCATGTAATAACAAGTTAATACTGACTTAGACGAAGTTCGAGTAATCTGACAAATTGTAATAAAGGCTTAATATGCAGACTTTAATTTTAGCTGAAGAAGTGTTTTTTTCTTGGTGATATTTTGTAACTTGGCTGAGAAGCCTTTTTGCCTTAGGCAGAATTATAAATTCCTCCATTTGGCGTTTCAAATATATATGTACATTTTTTTTTTTTTACTTTTTTTCCTGCCAGAAATCTGTGGTTGATGGAGAACCAACTTTATTTCTGTTTATTTTCTTCAGGCTGTTAAATGTTGGCCAGTAAAACAAATATTCAAATACTGTTGGTTTTATTATAGCGGTAAATATTAAAACCAATACTGGGCTGAGTATTGTCTTGCGTAAACAGGTATCTATATTTCTTGAAGGAGAATCAGTCTTCTAAGCCTTCTTTCACTACATCACATGATCTAACGGTGCCTGTTCTTCATCCTCTTGAATTTTCATTGGTTGTGATGATTGAGTCTTTCCAGCGTGTTGATAATTGTCCTTATGCTCCTTTTCAATCAAAATGTTCTTCTCCAGTATACTAGGTCTAATCAGTAAGACCCAAACCAGCTGGCTCAACTATCTAGGGTTTTTATTTACAAGAAAATAGTAAGTCAAAGCAAAAATCTGGGAAATATAAGAGAGCAGCAAAACAGAATATCAACACAGACAAACAAAAATCTCAGCAGCAGGACCACTCAGCATGGCGTCGAAGCTCTCCTCCTGATGCAGGTGGACCCAGGACTTTAATAGGGAAGACCCCGCCCATCCAACAGGTCTCACCTGTAATCAATTAGAAAAGCAACCCACCACCACCTGCAACCTAAAAAAAAACCCCATAATGCAGCCTTACCCGGAGTAAACAAGAACCGAAGAGGGACGTAACAATGTGCACAAGCTCACTTTAGTCTGGTCATTTGTGATTCAGGTGAAAACATTTATGTAGGGCAGTGGGTTAGAGCTCTGTGGTTGCATCCAGAATATTGTGGATTCATATCCCTTTCTTGGCACTGTAGGAATTAATAGCTCAAATAAATTTTAATATTCTCCACCAATATGTTTGAATTAATTAAAGTTTAATTAATTATTATTTAATGCTGATTATTAATCAATTGTTATGCCGAATGGTCGGCTCCTCCAAACTCAATTGCGGTATCCCTGTGAGTCTGTTAATGTGAGACTTAAATGGGATTCACTAATTACCAGTATCGCTCAGTAGCCTGGGTTAGAAGGCTCGTCCAGCGAGCTGCATCATCAGGTAATGTAAACAATTGGTAGCGGAGCCCCCCCTCACGGCCGATGAGAGAGAGTCTCGCGAT